TACCCTATTTCCATCCACTTCAACACAGATAAAACGCAGCGCTCGGATTCAGACAGGAAAAAAAACGACGTCATCCGTGTCACAACTGACCTCCCTGATCGCCCACCACACGTTCATTATTATTATCTAGATACTCCGGCTGATGCTGGCTGATATTCACTGACCACCCACCACTCGGCTCTCACTCATGCGTTGTGTAATTTAAGCTGATTCACGGGTTGTTAGTTTCAAAAGGTCACTTCAATAATCTATGTATGTCTCACCCTCCCAAAAAAAACCCAGGACAATGTCTCAGACCTGTTCACTCTGTTCCCACTGGGGTGCTTTGGTTTCTCCTTCCCAATCTGATCCCGCTCTCTGATTGGTCGGGAAGCTGTTTTGAACGGCGGCGTTACGTCAGCGTCGAGTGTTTTTGTCTGAATTGTAAACTATGACGAGGATGTTTGCCGACTGAAGCTCGAGACTGAAGCGGAAAGGAAAAGGAGAGGAAGGAGCAGACTGCTGTAGTTTAGAGGAGCCCGGAGATCAACTCCCTCATTAGCATACCGCTGCCATAGCAACAGGAAACCAAACTGCTGCTGAGCGAGAGACAGAGAGAGAGAGAGATGGAAGAGAGGAAGGAGGAGAGGGGAAGTGTTTGAGAAGAGGAGGGAAGAGGAAAACTGGAGAAATAGAGGAGGTGAAGAAGAGGAGAGGAGGAGGAAAGTAAATGCAAAAGAGGAAAATAAAGGAGAGTTTTGGAAGAAGAGGAGGAAAGAGAAGAGGAAGGGGATGAGGCAAGAATAGAAGAGAAAAAAGAGGTGGAGGAGAATGGATATGGGAAGACAAGAAGAGGAGTAGAGGAAGGAGTGGGAAAGCGAAAAGGGCAAAAAAAAGAAGAGGAGGAGCATTGAGGATGAAGAGGATTAGTGACAGGAGAGAAGAGGAGATGAGGAGGAGGAGGAAAGAAAGGAGGAAGAGGGAGAAGCCACCTTGGTTTGACTTCTAACATTTCTCCCCTCTTTTCTCGTCTTTATAATTAAATCCACTCGTTATCCAATATCCTCACACACACACACACACACACACACACACACACACACACACACACACACACACACACATAACCAGATAAGAGGTTGAACAACTTGCTCTGTCGCCAGGTTTATCTGTGTGTGTGTGTGTGTGTGTGTGTGTGTGTGTGTGTGTGTGTGTGTGTGTGTGTGTGTGTATTTAGGTCATATCTGTTGTTGCTCTCTCAGGTTGTTGGTTATCGGAGGTGTAAGGGCGACATAAAATGATTAAATTGAGAATGAAAACCCTCCCACGCTAAAAAGATAAAAACACTGTTGCTCGTTTATGGCTTCTCACAAATAAGACACACATATATATATGTTTATATATGTTTATATATAGTTTATATATGTTTATTTATATGTTTGTTATATGTTTTCCTCGTGCATATTTTAAAATATATTCACCAGGTGCCTCATTACAAAACGTCTTAGAATAATATAGGAACCAGTCATCAATCAAGATAGGAGCAGTGTGGATGATTTAGTAGTTGTAGTGAAGTTGCAGATTGCAGCTAACTGAACACTGCTCGCGTCTGTATCTGGGAATGAGAATGGGCTGTGAAGTGTGCCGGAGAAAGTAAAGTGGCCGCGTGACTTGCAAAAAACCTGAGAGGCCCTACATGGAGTCAGTGTAAGTGACTATATTCAGGTGATTATACACTAATGAAAGTATACCTATTAATATTATATTCAGTTTTTGACAACAGACCTTTATAAATATCATTATTTAATTGAATTTGATTGAATTTCTTCCCGCTCAGCAAGGAAACATTGTCCGGGGGAAACACAAACTGGGAATCTGTGACTGAAGAGACTGTAACGTTGAAGCCTGAAGCCTCATTTTAAGTTGAGCACAGAACGAGGATGGTGGATTTAGTCTCTTATCACTTATATTAAAAAGCATGAGAAAGGATTTCAACGATTTAAAAAAATGTTTTCCATAATGTATTCGTCGTAGCTCCAATCTCTAACCTTCATCATACCATATTTAATAGAAAGTGAGAACATATTCTGGAGCGTTGTAGGGGTTTGATACCTCGTTACCCACCGGCAGGAACACCAAGGGACGGCTGGCGTCTGCTCCGGGGCCTCGCCGTTAATATCTCTTGTGACATTTAGTATCTTCTTCCCGACGCCGCCACGTGATGCTGCAAAGTCAGAAGCTGTGAGAGCCGCACACAGATATATCTGACACTCAGTCCTGGGCTGAGCTAATAAAATGTGGCAGGATCAATTATTTATGAAACAAGCCCACACTTGCAAGAAAACAAGGAAGGGTGGAAAATCTGCAGCCACCTTTTAGAAAAAGTACCCCGAGCATCACGATTGATTGACAGCTTCAGTCGCAGACCTGAACTTTTATTTTTTTGGCAGATTGCCTTTTTAAGCTTTTAGCTAAATGTTTGGTTGAACAGTTGTTGTTGTGTGTCCTTGTGTGAAGGTGGATGTGCAGGAATTGAGCTGGAGGTTTATCTGGCCCATTTGTTTATTAGGAAAACACACTTTTTACATTCTCACACACACGTAGCTGATGTGATGGATTACCGACTGTCTCTCAAATCTTTTTACACTGCAAAAGCAGCCCTTCTAGAAACAAGGATAAACTTGTATTGAGCAGGAAATCTGCCAGTGAAGTAAGGAAGTTTATCTTGGCTACAATTCCTAAAACTAACATAAACATCTAACCATTGAAAGACTCTAATGGGCCTTAAAACTAGAAAAAATGACAAAATGTAAGCAAGTTGTGCTTATTACAAGCAATGAACTAAACTTTATTAAAGTTAAAGTATTTTGGTCACTTTATTGAGCTGAATTTAAGAATTTTATCTTAATGTAACATTCATTTTGAATTAGCAATTTCTTTTTTCATTCATTACATAATAAATATAAATGACTTTGTCTGAAATGAAGGCATCAGAAACTTCTTATTTTCAGTATTTTTTTATTAAAACAATAAAAACTAAAACAGCTGCTTCATTTCCAACACTGGGACAAGGTGACCTTCTCTTAAACTTACTCTTAAAATAATGAAATAATCTTGTTCCTCTGCTGGGATATTATGAAAACTATTGTTGGAACTTGTTAAATGTAGCTCAATATTAGCTGTAATGTCTCATCAAGACAAAGTTAGATATCTTTTCTTAAAACAAGATCACTTTTCTAATGCAAAAAATTGCTTGACAAGATTATATTTCTTTTTAGACTCATTTCCTGGAAACAAGGCTTTTTTTAATGTCTTGAGATTTCTTTTTCGCAGTTTAGAGTGTGACACCTCTCGACAAGGACCAGATGAATCGCTCATGAGGGAAGAAACTAATAAGACAAAACGAAGTTGGCAGGAGAGCAAGAGATTAGATGGGAGCAAAGAGGATGGGTGAAAGGAGCAGAGGGCTGGAGGGAAGAAGAAATGGAAAGACACAATGGGAAGGAAAAGAAAAGGAAAGACAAACAGAAAGGAGGACTCAGCTGGTTCTTGGTGACTCAGAGGGCAGCTGAAGGGCTGACGGGGACAAACAGCCTCTGGTGCGACGCCAACAGTATTAGTGGATGAGCTGTAATGAGATGTAAATGGAAGCGACCTGAACAACAGAGCAGCTACCTCTCTCTCAGGGCAGGAAGTAACCTTTGGTTTGTCATAACAGCTCACGGAGGAAGATAAAACTGGACGCATTTACCCGCCAGGGGCTAAGTCTGGAGCATCTGAACGAATATAGTTTGTAAAAATGGTAATAAAATATTTACCATATTTATCTGGCAACAGCCAAAATGTACACTTGAAGGCTGACATCAGGCGTGATCAAATGAACCAGACACTTGTTTTCGAGTTCTCGCAGTTATCCTGTGATCTTACAGAAAACTAAAGTTTGTTTACTTATTATATATTTTCGCATTATCTTGGGGAATCAGACTCTTGTTTTCTCCAGATAAGAAGAAAAATCTAGCTCTCAGCTTCCATATGTTACGCTATCTTGCAACACTGTTTTGCAAAGGTGGCGTCGCTACATCCCGGAGCTTTGTGCCTTCCAAGATTGTGATTGGTTTAAAGAAATGCAAACAAACCAGTGCCTTTTATTTCACCCAATACCAGAATGATAAAGGGTCGAGCCAGTATGGAGACAGGTCTGGCTATGTGAGAGAAAGCCCTCGGTAACCCACAACGCTGCATTCAATGTACTCATATTTTTTCTTTGAGAATGGAAATAAAACTATAATACAAATGTTGCCCAATAAAAACATTGTGCACAAAAAAGAAAGAAAGAAAAAGCTAAAATATAATTTATTTAAATCGAAAGAAAAGTTACAAAGTGCTAACAAATACAGGCAAAAGAACAAGTAGTTTACTATAGTTGTCCTGTAGTATGACACATATATGCCAACCTGAGAGACTGCACACGTGTTCTTTAGTCTTATATAGTTTTAATGTGTAAATAAGCAACCTGATGAGTCTTAAATCGCACGCTGATGAAACAAATGTATGTTGAAATGGATCTGGAGCTGAAAATGTGAATATTTCATTCATAAGACCACCAGCTGTAGATATCAGCCACCAATGAGAAGGCAGTAAGAAGTAGTTGCTGGTTGACATGAACTAGAAACACCTGCAACAATTTTAATATTTCACTTGGACAAACTTGAAGGTTATGTACAGTGAGCTCTGCATAAAAAAAAGAAGAAAAGAAACAACTTTTTTTGTGTTTTGAAGGTTACACTGCTTCTTATCAGCTTTATTCCCAAAAAATGATATATGAGCCACTTTTAAAACTGCTTGTGTCATGGCGGGAGATAAGTGTTGTGGTTTCAGGGTTTTTCTTGCTCATTTTTTCCCCTTTTGATAACAATGTTACCCTCATTTATTTAAAGAAAAGGACACTCAAACTCTATTTCCTAACAGTGTCCTTCTCTCTCTCTCTCTCTCTCTCTTTCTCTTTCTCTCTCTCTCTTCAGTTTGTGGCCCAGCCGAACTGCCAGCAGCTGCTGGCCACGCTGTGGTACGACGGCTTCCCGGGCTGGAGGAGACGACACTGGGCGGTCAAACTCGTCACCTGCTTCATCATCGGACTCCTGTTTCCTGTCTTCTCACTGGTACGGAGGGAGGAGGGAGAAAGTGGGAGTGTGGAGAAGGGAAAGGAAACTATAGGGAGATAAAGGCGGAAATAAATGTAATGAGGAGGAAAGTGTGCGAGGAAGGAAGGGATTGAGGAAAATTCAAAGGAAGCAAGGCAGGATGGAAAAGAGGAAGAGAGGAAAGGAGCTGAGGAAGGGAGGAAGTGAGGGAGGAAGCATCAGTGGAGGGAAGGTAAAGAAAGAATAATGGAAAGAGGAAAAGGAGAGAGAAGGAGAAGAAAAAGTCTCCTTCCTCAAAGTAAATTTGCTCTCGGCGCAATTAAGCAAGATGTTTTTTGGCTGGAGGAGCCCTTGCTAGGCATCAGTGAAAGGAGGAACTAAGAACTAAGAAGAAATGTCATTAGGAGAATACTGTGTAAGAAGCCTCTCTCCTCCATCACAAGTCGACACACAAACACACTTTCAGACTTTCTGTAAACAGGAAATGAGCAGGGAGGAAGAGACATAATAGGCTCTTCCTTGTGATGAAGTGCCGTCAAGAAAACTCCTGGAAAATGACGGGGTGAACCCTGTTTACGTGTTTTCGACAGATGAAGGTAGTCTGTGTAAATGTGGAAGTTCTTCAGGCTCAAAACACTCTTGTGAAGATGATTATGACTCATTTAGAGTAAATAATCACTGAGTGTGTGTCTTCTTCTTGTGATAATAAATCATCAAAGTTTTAATCCATGATTTTATAATCATCAGAAAGACGTCCTTTGAAGCAGGAACGAGGAGCTTTGATTTTGTGTTGATTCTGGCGCTGCCTGTGGAAAGAAGTGGTAGTGTTTCCACCTCCTCCTTGTCATTGATTTCGGTTGAATCTGATCAAATCTGACCCGGCAGTCTTTAAGAATAATTACATAGAAATAGTCTTCTCGCTGATGGTCTTGTTCATTTCTGTAGGTCATACAGAGGCGTAACCAGATCAAACTCTCTGCAGTACGTTTAATGGGAATCTGAAACCTGTGAAATTGTAAAAGTGGACGTTCAGTCAGGAAAAGTAAGCGAGCACCAGCTAATAAGGGCGTAGCAGGGAGGTGGCCCACCGTCGGCTCTCTGTAGGCGTACTGTGTGTGGTTTTAAACCAATGTTGATAAACTGAAATCAGTTCATGGATCAAAGGCCAGTGGATTCTGCTTGGAATCAGCAGTTCATTGTTGGAGCAGATGTTAAAACTCGACTAAATTTCATTAAAAAAGTATTTTAGATTCTAATCTAATCTAATGTATTCGGGTGTTATCATGTATATTTACAATTGAGAGGCCACCACAACAATAAACAGCTTGTTTACCTCCACCTACAACCCAAAATCATCTAGTTATAGTGTTAAGGTGATCTAAATATAAATGTTTATTGTTGTATTGTTTTAAAACCATTTTGTTGGGAGGACAATTTCATGATTTCATATACAGAAGTATCAAGTTTTACACCAAAATATTTTATTTTCAGACTATTATAGATGTTAAAACAGACAAATGTCCCATCTTTTTGCACCTTTTTGCCTCTCACTTAACTCAGTGCCCTTTGTGGTGCATTCAAGGACTCAAAAATACCAAAATAAACCAAACTAAACACATGATTAGAGGGAGTAATCCAATGTTAATTCAGTTATGTTTACTCTGACTTTATTGTTAATGTGAGTAAGATAATTCACTTAAAGTCTTTACATTGCAATAATCAGAGTGTTGCCTTAATGTGATTAAGTTATTAACAATTTAATAATGCATGTAAACACACCTCTGTCTCTCTCTCCCTTTCTGTCTTCCTTATTGTTTCTGACCCTCTCTCTCTCGCTCTCTCTCTCTGTTACTCAATTCCTTTAAAAGCCCCACTGGCATGACTCAGAGTAAGTTGAGGATGCCAGCAGCGAGTAGATGAGCAGAACAAGTAAACAAGCATCATAGCAGCAATAACGCGAGCAGTAACAGCAGTGTGAGACGAAGCTTTCCAATAACGCGAGGTGACGAGCAAGAACGCCATGGACTTATGTACAGTCTCTCTCTTTCTCAATGCGTCACAGTTCAAACAAAAAGTTAAAAAATCTGAACTGCATTAGAGACATTAGAGCAAATGGTTGTCACTGCCTTTCTTACGGTTCATTATAGGTTAAATAATATCACTAATAAGTTTGAGGAATTGTGTCTGTGTTCAGTTCTGTTAGCTCCCTCCCTCTCTGCGAAGGACACTGACCTTAGGGGGCGTGGCCTTAACAGTGACCAGAGTGACTGACAGACTGACCACAGCAGCGTAGCAGGAACAGCGAGCTGGTAGTCAGAGCTAACAGAGCTAATGAGCAGCTGCTGTCAGACTCTTTGTGTCCGCTCTGGAAACAGTGAGTCCTCTGAAGCTTCTACAGTCACTAGAAGCACATTCATGTTGTTGTACCTAAGCTAATGTCTCAGGGAGGCTAACTGGTCCAGGATGAGTGTGTCTGTGGGGGGACTGTCAGCGCGTGGGATCAAGGTAAAGACTGCAGTCCGGTGGTGCTTCTAAAGCCGTCTAAAGTCCGAACCACTGCACCAGTATAGAAAGATAACAAGTAGAGGGTTAGCAAAAACTAGCATGAACTAGATGAGAATGTCAATAATAACACCAGCATTGATTTGGTTCCTAATCTTTCTCATGATCTCTCTTGTCCCTCGTCTTCTGTCTCCGCCGTTTTAACTCCCTCTGTCTCCGCCTCCTTTCTCCTCAGATCTACCTGCTGGCTCCTAAGAGCGCTCTGGGAAACTTCATCAAGAAGCCCTTCATCAAGTTCATCTGTCACACGGCGTCCTACCTGACCTTCCTCTTCCTCCTGCTGCTGGCCTCGCAGCACATCGCCCGCACCAACCTGCACATGCAGGGACCCCCACCCACCATCGTCGAGTGGATGATTCTCCCGTGGGTGCTGGGTATGTACGAACAACCTTATATACTTCAGTCTGTTAACTTTGATGCTTCCTGAGAGGATTTTATTTATTTTTTTACTTCCGATGTGTTAAATGTGCCTCAAAGTTTTCTAGTTTTCTGCTATATGAGTTATGATTAGTGGGACTTATGTGACTCTGTACCAAACAGCACTACTCTGTAAACTATTTCCTTATATTTACAGTACTGGCAGCAGGTTTCTGTATTTTGATTTACAATAAACTACTGTAATCGTACTCTAATTACAGTATATAGAACAATATAATATCACTACAAAACAGTATTTTACTGTATTTTATTATATTGTGTTGTTCTGTAAGAATGAATCGATACGTGTTATTATTTTTAGTAGTAGCAGTAGTAGTATTATATATATATACAATCCAGTAAGGCTAAAATGTACTGTAAGTCATTTGTGCTTAATCAAAATTACCCACAATGCAAGTTTTGTGCAATGCAATGTTTTTTATTACACATTATTGTGATTTGGATCAGTTGTGGAGCCGTGAACGAAACCTTAAACAGCGGAGTCGTTCTGGGATTCAGTGACAAAGTTTTGATATTGTACGTCATCATATCACAGTTTTATTCGTTCATTTGTGTTTCCTTTCCTTCCTCTTTTCTTTAATAAATGACTCATATCTCACACATGCACAAAGACTTTAATAAATCAGTGTGTGTCCAGGAAGCAGCCGTACTCTGATGAAGAAATATCTCTTTCAGACAGTAAAAAACAACCAGATTTCAATTGAATGGGAAAAAAATACTTCTTATCTGTTTAGTTTTTTTTTTTACTTTGATTGCTATTCATCAAGTGTGTGTGTGTGTGTGTGTGTGTGTGTGTGTGTGTGTGTGTGTGTGTGTGTGTGTGTGTGTGTGTAGGTGTGTGTGGTGGGATGCTTGCAAGTGTGTGTAGGAGGTGGTTGTGTGTGTGTGTGTGTGTGTGTGTGTGTGTGTGTGTCTGAGGGTGGGTGGGTGTGAAAATGAGTGATTACATCTCCATATTCTCTCTCTGAGCTGACACCAATCATTTCCAAATCATAACCATAATCACTTGGAAAAATACAAAACCATCTGTTCTCCTTCGTCGTCTCTTCCGCTCGCTGCTCGTGGCCCCTTTTTTCTTCATGAAACACTACAAAACACTTTGGACTACAAGAAACAACACTGACCGTTTGCTGCTTGTGTTGTTTATTATTAGAGTGAGAGCATATATCGTTCCTTCAGTTGTAGTTGTTCTCTATCAAAGTGTTATATCAGTAGTGGCCAACCTTTTAAAGTTACAGCTCCTGACTGAGTGACATATTTTATGGATATTTTACATTCAGAACTACAATGAACCCAAATAATGAACTCAGTAACTTCAGGAAGTTTGTGTAAAAGGAGAGGATTTGGAGGAATTTTGAGCAGATTATTATCTCTTTAGGGAACTTTTTACACAATAATCTGTCTGTATTATGAATTTTATATAATTTTTAACAATCATACAGACTTAATAACTTACTTGTCCCTGATGTTTGGTCATTGTTCTATTAGACAATTTACTTTTACTTTTCTTCACAGAAGTGAACCAAATGCTGAGATATAAACCTAGTTTTTTAGGCCTCACGACCCCCTCATGAAGCTTTGGCGACCCCCAGTGGGGTCCCGACCCCCAGGTTGGGAACTAAATGCTAAAGAATAATAATGTGTCATTCAAATATCTTCACAGTCTCTAAATTACATACATAAAATACATCTATCGTAGTTAAACTGAGAAAGAGTTTTCATGTCAGCTGTGAAAAGTATATGTCGTTGTTATCAATAAATACCATTTAAAACCAATCAAACATTAGTCAAGTCAAGTGATTTTACTTTTTATTATTATTATTTCTGTATTTGCATTAATTAGTTTGATTGCCAATCAGATGACGCATTCATTTTATTCCTCAAGAACATTATAGTCGGTCTTTCCCACACATAGATTTACTTGGGCACAAATGTAATATAATATTCACAGGTATGTTTTCATTAGTGAATAATCACCTGAAAATAAGAATCACTGTGTTTTCGCTACCTTAGAATGAGACGTTTTTATCTACAGACGTCAACTGGCTCTAGATGGGGCCTTTTGTGCAGCCTGTTATTAGTTATCTGCAACTTCACCACTACATGCCACTCAGTCCTACACACAGGTCCTTTAAAGTAGACACAAAACCTTAATATAATTATCGTCTGACTCAGTGGCTTCCATATCTGTATATAAAAACGTCTCATTCTAAGGTAATGAAAACACAACTATTCTTATTTTGTGGTGATTGTACACTAATAACCAATAGAGCCTCCTAAATGTTACACACTGGACCTTTAATCAGACTTAAAATGGAGAAATAAGCAATGACCCATAGAAATATACCGTAATTTTTTAAGCTCTAAGTGCTCCTATTAACCATCGCAGGCTGCTATCGTTCTCTAACAGAGAGAGTAGAATATGTTGCACATTGTCAATCAGATAACAGATTTAGATTTTTTTTGTATTGAACCAAAGCCACAATCTTAATTATGTTACTTGTCTAAATATAATCATTGAAAACTATAAAAAGCTGATATTCTAGGGAGAACAGATCAAATACAGAATCACTTATGAATAATTTAGAATAAAACCTGAGTTTGTTTAAAGTCCCTCGTATAGAACAAATGTTGTGTTGGCTCTCTGCTCACCGCCCGAAGCTGCTGCCAAAAGGAAATAGCCAACAGAAAGTTTGGTCACAGAGCAGAAACCAAGCAAACAGAAACCACTGATGGATGACATTAGTGTGCTCACACATGCATGACTCTGTGTGTGTGTGTGTGTGTGTGTGTGTGTGTGTGTGTGTGTGTGTGTGTGTGTGTGTGTGTGTGTGTGCCTGTAAATAATATTCAGTGTCTGTGTTTGTGTGTGTTTCAGGCTTCATCTGGGCAGAGATTAAGGAGATGTGGGACGGGGGATTCACAGAATACATCCATGACTGGTGGAACCTGATGGACTTCGCCATGAACTCGCTGTACCTGGCGACCATATCACTGAAGATCGTGGCCTACGTTAAGGTAGAGATCGTGTGTGTGTTTATATATTTCACCTTTCACACATTAAATGCAGATCAAAGTGCTTTACAGTGTGACATTAAACAACAAAACACAATACAATGCTAGAATATATACATATACAGTACATACATCTCACTGAATAGCAGGGTTCCCACGCCTAGACTAGTTTTCCAGTTATGGAAACTATGTTTTAGGTGTGTATTTCGATTGAGATTCAACTGTTGGTAGGTTAAACTGCACGCTATGACACTTAAAGGCGGGTTTACCAGATGCAAAGCAGAACGGAAAACACTTTCCATTTCTGCTCCCGTGTGAGTTAAGAGCTGTTCACACCCCTTGCAGCGAACTTTGTGACCACTAGTAGCGCTATGGAGCAATGTTTTCATCATAAAGAAACGCTTAAAGATCCAGTCTGTATTTGGAGAGTGTAACTCCCTCTCGTTATGAGCTCAAAGGAGAAACTACGGTGGTTGCAAAACTCACAAAAATCACAAAAGGGCCTATCTACTGCTAGTGTTTGGTTTGTCTGTTCAGGTAGAAACATGGCTGGGACGCGACCCACAGCGTCTGCTGATATAAAAGGCTCTTTCCAAGGTAACAAAAAGATAATGATTCTTATTATCGGGTGATTTTGCATTAATGAAAACACACCAATTATATTCTGTTTCTTCCCGTAGATAAATGTTACACACTGGACTTTTAACCCTTCAGCTTATTATAAACATTCATAATCACCAAGTAACTAAAGCTGTCACACAAATGTAGTTGAGTAAAAAGTACAATATTTGCCTCTGAGATGTAGTAAAGTTGTATAAAGTTAAAATAAAATGGAACTACTCAAGTACAGTACTTGAGTAAACGTACTTTGTTCCCACTGACAGTCTCACAGCTCAGAGTGGCTCTGAGGTCATGAGTCCTTACCACAGGCAAAAAGTGAAGCTGTGTTCAAATCTTCATTCATTTTTTAAAGTGTTTATTTCCAGAGTGAGCTCAAATTAAACTGAAACCCTGTTTGCAAAGCTGCAAGAATCTGCACGACGGAGAGTCCGTCAGATGTCCTTGAGGTTTTTTGTGCAGACTTTTAGTACTTTAGCCCAAAATCTATGACCAGGTTCATGTTTTTACAGTAACGTGATACAATACGATACAGATGGCTGAAAAATTAAAGGAAATTTAATGAAACAACGTCATAAAAATATTCCTTTTAACACCTTTATAGTAATTTTGGCAACATCAGCAAGAACCTTCATTAGAGAGCTGAACACTGACGTGCAAAGAGCAATAATACAACAAACAATCTGAATAATATGAACTGTGAACATCAACCATGACCTTTGACCTGTAAAACAACAAACTGGAGAGTTCCACTTGGCTGCTTTGATGCAGTCATTTTCTCACTTTTACAGCAAAGCTCTCAGCGTCAATAAAACTTTATATCGCTGCACATTCTGCATGCATACAAAGATTTATCTATTTATTAAGAGCGAATGGCACACACACACACACACTCACACACACACTCACACACACACACACACACACACACACACACACACGCGCGCACACACCAGACGGCCGGGCCATCTGCAGCAGCTGTGAGTCACCGATGGTGGCGGGTGGTCCTCCTACACAGGTCCCAACCACACATATATACATACACGCAGTTTTATAAGCGCACACATATAGATATAAAGTGTGCACATACACACAACTGGATCCTTATAATATTACCACACACACACACACGCACACACACACACACACACAGAAGCAGCTGTTGGCACAATATATTTTACTTTTTTGTATTTTTCATTTCTCCTTTAAATATTGATCAACATTTAACAACCCCTGGAGAGCTGAGAGGCAAAATTTTGCTCTGTCATTGTGTGTGTGTGTGTGTGTGTGTGTGTGTGTGTGTGTGTGTGTGAGAGAGAGAAAGAGAGTGAGAGAGAGAGAGAGAGACATGCAGACAGACAGTGCAAGTGCATCTGAGAGAAGGTGCGAGAGAGTCTATAAATTAATGAGTGTGCATCTGTGTGCATGTTTCTGGCAGTGCCCCTGTGTGTGTGTGTGTGTGTGTGTGTGTGTGTGTGTGTGTGTGTGTGTGTGTGTTTGTGTGTGTGTGTGTGTGTGTGCGGTGAATGCTAATAGAGGCAGAGTTAACAAGACAGACGTCCCGTGGAAGTCTAATGGCTGAATTTAGAATGAGAAGGAAGCCAAGCATGAGACAACCGAGGGAGATGTGGAGAGAGAGACGGTGGGAACGGGATGGAGAGAGACAGACAGACAGACAGACAGACAGACAGACAGACGGACACATGAATAAAGCAAGAAAAAAAAATAAAGTAACAGAAACAGAGAACGCTGGGGCGGGAAAAAGAGGGTGATGGGGATATAAAATGAGAGCTTGAAAGACAGTTGATAGACGGAAGGAGAGAAAGAATCCAGAGAAACACACATAACAGAAACACAGAGGAAGGTGTGTGGAGCTTCAAGCGATCTGCAGCGAGCCTGAGGGAGATTTATGACGTTTATCTGTCGGGGAATACTCCATAAATCCATTTAAGTGCGGGTTAAATGATACAATCGACCTACAGTATACTACTAACTTAACATGTTCAGGTTATGGGAACATCAGTGTTGATCTCTTCTGTCAGTATGCGGTCCAAAGCGGGGTCTGTGGTGGCACTGGCTCGGGTTTTAAAGCTAGATAGTGAACATACTGAATACTGAATGAAACCAGTTGACCTTGCTACCAGCTATGTCCTGCTAGCATGTCGGTAAGGGAGCTAAATAACGCTCCAAGGTTCTAAATTTAAATTTTGGCGAAGGAAAAACATGGCCAACTCATGATATCTGAATGAAAATGGTCCCTATGGATACCCACAAGTTTGCGTTATGCTAATCACATGCAGTTTTTTTTGCCTCTGGAATAAATCTATTACTTATCTCTTAGTGTATTTGAATATTTCTGCATACTGGGATCCATAAACAGTGTTAGAACTGTGTAAATTGGGAATGACTTTAAAGCTGAGACTCAAACTTAATGCCAGCTCTGCATAAGTCAGTGGCCCACTTGTGCCACCGGTCCCTGCTTAAAGGGCAATACACACATAAAGTTTAGAAAGAAAAATTGGATATAAACTTGGCTTTAGGTTTTTATAGGCATTTGAGCAAATGGCAAATACTGTCATTTATTTCTCTGATGAAGAAAGACTCAATTTATCTCTGTGTGTTCATATTGGGCCAGAAGCACAAAGACTGGAAACAGCTTGCTCCATTAAAGAAGCCTTCTAATTGTTTGTAATTCAGATATATAAGCTTGTGTGTGTTTTTCATTGATGCTTCTTGTGTTTCCACAATCTTAACAGAACTTTTCTTCCTCCCTCCTCCTTCTCTTTCCTCCCCGTATCTCCCCTTCCTCCAGTATAACTCCTCTCGTCCCAGGGAGGAGTGGGAGATGTGGCACCCGACGCTGATAGCTGAAGCTCTGTTCGCCATCGCCAACATCTTCAGCTCCCTCAGACTCATCTCCCTCTTCACCGCCAACTCCCACCTCGGGCCACTGCAGATCTCACTGGGGAGGATGCTGCTGGACATCCTCAAGTTCCTGTTTATTTACTGTCTGGTAAGACCTCAGGAGTGACGTGTCGATGACAACCAGCTGTATGGAGGCAAATGAATATATGCATCACAAATCTGTGACAAACCAGATGAGTAAAGCTGTCGATTCTGAACAGATTTCAGTCTAAATACTTTTCTATTAAAACTTTGTGTCTATTTTCAAACCGAGTCTTTGATGACGGTGAGAGAGAGAGAGAGAGAGAGAGAGAGAGAGAGAGAGAGAGACAGAAATCCTCAGCACACTGTATCCTTCAGTGATGGCAGAAGGACATTACAGGCCTGTTTCATTTCATTCAGAACTCATTAATTCCTTCCCAGGGGAGCTCCTAACCTACAACACAATCCACACGAGGACTGCTTTAGCTCCCTGAAGTCCCAAAATCAATCCCAGTGAGCCCGAGGCACAGGAGCCACATTGCTTCATGCTCGCTGAGTAGCAGCTTTACGTAACACCATAGTGCTTGTGTCCTGTTTGAGAACAAAGCCGTGTTTTAAAATACCCCGGAGGACCAGAGGGTCAATCACTACAACAAAATGTAATCCAGAAAAACCTGCTCGTATGACTTCTGTTTCCGTACACTGTCATTACTCCTGTGATATAAATCAACACCACCATGCTTAAAGTGATACTGAATGATGTCTCCGCTCCGCAGGTCCTGCTGGCGTTTGCAAACGGCCTGAACCAGCTCTATTTCTACTACGAGACCAAGGCCTCAGAAGAACACAACAACTGCAAGGGCATCCGCTGTGAGAGGCAGAACAACGCCTTCTCAACGTGAGTACCATCCATAACAACGCAGTGTGTGTCCATGTGTGCTGTCTTTAATGGTCCGTAAAGGAGTGAAACACAACAGGAGGAGGAGGATACTGCGCCGGTTAGATACTCACATAAAGTAAAAGTGGACATACGTGAAGACTTCATTGGAGATATCAAAGGGGAAACAATGTCCCTAGTGTTGCTCATTAATGGTGGTGTTGTTGTCAGCGGCCATATCTGTGTGTGCTTTATCTCCTGCTCAAGAGACAAATCTAATTGTGAGTTATAGGCAGTTATGACTTTATTTGTTTTGGATTCTCTTGGTCTAAAAATGCCTTCAGTGTATAAAATATAATAACGGAAACATTAGCTGTAATCTGATTTAGTATGTGTTCCTGTTTTGTTCTTTTATAGCTCTACATAACTTTTATTTGTATGTTAAATAACTAACTCTGTTGTCACCTGGTGACCCTGTGACCCTCATTTTATTCTTGAAAAAGCGATGTTTGTTTCAGATTTAACACCTTGCGATGATTATTTATGTTTTTTAGCCATGCTGAAGCACCACGTCTCTGGACAATGTGTGTCTATTGATCTACCTAACCCGAACCTTTATGACTAAATAGCTGCAATACAAACTATTCTAACTAATTCCAGGGTTCCCACTGGAAGATCTGGGCATTTAGAGACTATTAAAATTGATTAAAATGACCAAATATCCTGTAAATAATTATTGTAGCCCCTCACTCAGATCCCCTATGTAACCCTGGGTGCATAGTTTGTTTTTAACTCGACTGTTGGCAGATGGTACGTCGCTTCAAAGTGGGTTAGAGATGTGAAGCGCAACAGAAGAACATTTTAAAAGCTCCCATTTCATTTCAGCCTTGTCAGTCGATGTAGTTATTCACACCGGATGTGAAATGGAACAAACTCACATTAGACTAAGATGGTAATCATGGTAAACATTATACCTGCTTATCTTGCTGATGTTACTATTCAGCTCACTGTTAGTAGGCCGAAGTACAGCTATACTCTATGTAGGAGTTACAGTCTAGACGCTAGATGCCACCAAATCCTACACACTGGCCCTTAAATCTGAATTTCATATATATTTTTCGGCATTCAAAATACTATATATGGCCATAAATGTATGGACACCTCATAGCAAGAAGGTCCGGGGTTCGATTCCCGACTTGGGCAGGGCCTTTCTGTGTGGAGTTTCCACATTCTCCCCGTGTGTCTGTCTGAGTTTTATTGGGATAATTCTCCAGTTATTGCCCTTGACCGAGGCACTAGCTAAGATCGGGAATTGGTCCCCTGGTGCTGTAAAGTGGCGACTGCTCTTAGGAAGGGTTAAATGAGAGGGCAAATTTCATTATACTACTATACTGTACTAGAATTAAGGAGTAATGCTTGTAGTTTATCATCAGGACTGCAAAACTAACTTTAGTCAGTTTCTGGATGGTAGATAAACTGATGCTTTGGTGATGTTTCCTAATAAAAACTGTGACAATATCAGCCACCAGCGATGCAAACACCCATTTAAATGCTGTCTGGATCAATGACTGAATATTTTACTACACACATCACCACATCATCATCATCGTGTGTGTGTGTGTGTGTGTGTGTGTGTCAAGATGCTGCATCGACGATAATTTAAGCTTTCACACATGCGTCGTTGCACCAGATAATGATATGGAAACGATTTTTGGTGTGGAGTAGGAGCTCGGGCTCGTTCGGTTGACAGGAAGAATATTAATGTGGGAATTTTTTTTTACAGCGAGAGACTGTTGAGTCGAGGGTTGAGCTTATTGAGAGGCCGAGTCTGAATTATGCCTCATATGGCAGCTCTGCAACACACACACACACACACACACACACACACACAGAGCATACACATGCAGTGTATCTTTTCTGAGGGAGGCAAGTGAGAGCCAGGCAGTCAGTGGGCTGAATATTGATGAGGCGTGTGGTTTGTGTTAGATAATAGCTGTATTGATTTGTGATTGATCCCATTACAGTGAAGCACCTGGGACAATGACAGGACTGCAGTGCCCGAACAGATCACACAGTGTTATTAAAAAGTGTTGTAGTCCGTAGATGAACCTTCTAAATGGATATCACGCAGGTAAAATGTGTTCAACAAAAGTGCACCAACCTTCAGGGCCAGTAGTCTTTCACGACGAGAAAGCGTTTCAGGGCGCCGAGGCCTCGACACAGCGTTGTGCTACTCGATATCCCACAATTCCCTCACAGGAAAAAGTCACACAGCCTTTGTCTCTCTCGTGCTGAGAAAACAGCAGCAGTCTCATAGTAGAAAACAGCTGTGGCGTCCCGCGACTCACCAGTGTTTCTGTTAAAGAGGTGCCCCGTGGTATCTTGTGACTTTCAGACGATTATACATAGCCGCAGGAAGTATCCCCCAACCACCGATGTGCCTGAAGTATTTGTCTTTTTTTGTTTTATTTTAGTTCCTTTTTTCTCTCGTTGCACACCATCCCTTCAGGTCCCGACCACCAGTCGATAAATGTATATATTTTACAGCCCTAACAACCTTAATCAAAGTGGTTTTGGCAAGTTGTCACCCATGTCGGGATTGTGACTTCCGAACATTTATGTTTTTTTCACGGGTTAGTAGAATCCAGTCAGAGATCTTTTCAGGAAAATACTAGCTTTCACCGGAAGAGTGCAATTAGAAAAACAGGCTAAAGTCTTATACAGGACTTGTTTGTGTTTATTATTATTATTAAGAAAATAACTTCAGTGAATTACGTGAACTTACATAAAGCCAATTCACACTAGCTATATAGTTTTTTTTGAAGAACATGCAATGCTGCCCAGATTATATCAACATGTAAACAAGGCGTTCATAAATAATGTACAGTCATATGTTCACTGCAAGGTGCATCCTTTTTGATTGAAGTAAATATATTAATGTTCTAATTGTAAATATATTATGTAAATAAACAAACAACCCTGTCTCTAATATGATATAATATGATTCATCTGGATACAGATCCATAAACTTGTATGCCTTTCCGGATGCAGGTCCTCTTTGTCCGGTGCCAAATCATAACAGACACTATTAAATTATTTACCCAGACCAATTCCAACCACGAGCAAAGACTTGGCAACAGTGGCAAGGAAACCTGAGTGAGTAAGGAGTAAATAGTGTTGAGCTCAGGAGTCAAAGTCATTGCTTTTTACTCTGACCTCCAGGCTGAGACGCTGAAAACAAACAAACAAACACAGTAAAAAATCATCTGTACGTCGGCCGTGCTGCTGGTGGGTCGGAGGGAAAGAAATCAGCCTCGTGCTGGAGCTAAACGAGCGAGCAGATCGACGCGATGACGGCTGAGATGATGCATTGTGCAAACAGAGCGAACCCAATCAGCATTCATGAGTTTACAATGCAAAGATTGTTTCCTCTGTGTGTGTGTGTGTGTGTGTGTGTGTGTGTGTGTGTGTGTGTGTGTGTGTGTGTGTGTGTGTGTGTGAGCTTTGCATTCGCTCTGTATTTCACACACACTTATCAACATTTCTGACTTATTTTGCGAGATCATTTCCTGTTTCTGCTCAGGTGTCTCCCCCTCTGCGTTGCCTCCCTCCTCTCCTCGCTCATCAGTACTTCACACACACTTATCACCGTTAATGTGTCAGATCAATTTACACCATGAAGCATGATCTCTCTCTCTGTTTGTCTCTGCCTCGCTCTCCCTGTTTTTTTTGCCTTCACACAAACGCTGTAAATACTCCTCCACTTTTCTTTCACACACACAGTTTTCTATCTCTCTCGCTCTCTCTCTCTCTCTGGGATTTGCACTCCTTCTCTATGTCTCTCTCTCTCTCAGCAGGGACACATCTTGGATTCTCACCAGACGAGGCCTTTTAACCCAAATCTAACGTACACAGCTTTCCAACAAAATAGTCCCAGAAAAATAAAGTAAATAAGTTATTTCAGCGCGTTTGTTTGACTGGTGACTTTCTAGAACAATGTTTAGACCAGAAACACGTTAAAAAAAATGAGAAGAGATACAACTTTTGATGTGTGATTGAGACGTTTACATCATAGATTCGATTTACTGTGTTTTATTTTGGTGTTTTTCTTTCTTAAGCGTTTATCTGCAAAGATATGCACTAAAGCAAAATAAAGCTTCAGTGGTGTTTATCTGGCTCACGTTCTCTCTGTAAAGAAGTTGGTAATTTGACTTTTTTGTGCAACCTTGTCAGCATTGGTGGAAGAAGTACACAGATCCTTCACTATAAAACAATGTAAAAATAATCCATCACGAGTAAAAGTAGAGAGGTATTATCGTCAAAGGTCCTCCAAATTAAACGACAAAATAAGTTGTTTGTCCATGCCCTTATAGAACCACAAAAAGAATTGATCTCTGATCTGACGCCATTATCAGCAGGAGGACATAATTTGTCGGTGTCGTCCGAAACCATTAAAAATCAGTCTGTTTTTTCCAGAACTGCGAGCAAAATCTTAATATCTACATGCATACAGGCTAATAATGACACATTTCTTGTTGCTGTGGTTCATAAATACATGCACAGTGACGTTAATTGTACGTTCAATGAAAACTTTAACTTTGCAGGATATGCATTTTCTGTAAAATGAAATTAATTGTACTTGATTTTAAATGTTACTTAATTAATACAGTCAGTTTGCCCTGAAAGTGCAGCTCCTATGACCGCTTGTAAGTGAGTGCTGTCCTGTAAAAACTTCTGGAAAATGTCAAAGAAAGGTCCCCGGAAACGATTTGTTAAAAGGAGTGGGAACCCTGATAACAGTGATCCACTGTTCCTCTGTACGATACAGAGTCTGCAGTCGCTCATAATCACAACAAGCTGCAGCGACTTCACTGTAAACTGGTGCCAAGACCACACACACAGAAAATCTAACATATTCATAAGCAAGATAAGCACTATAGGAATGATTTAATTGCACACTGTCGGGCTGCCAATTCTAAACACACAGAAACACTGCACACAATGTTTCTGTGTCACACACCAACACACAATAATACACTCTCCCTCCCTCTCTCCCTCTTTCTCTCTCTCTCGGCCTGCCTCCCACACAACTGTACCAGTATAACGGTGAAATGACTGAGTGGCTGTGAGGATCCGCTGTAGCATTTTATGACTCGGCTCACTGGAGAGAAAGATGAGAGAGGAGAGGAAACAAAGGGGGGAGAGGAGAGGAGAGTGAAGGAGGCAAGGGGAGGAAACAGGGATGAAAAATATAAAAGTACTGATTTTGATATTTTACAGGCAAAACCGGTGATAGCTTCTGCTAGATTGCACCTACAGTTGGTGCCTGGATCAGTTCCTGAAATGGGCCAGTGCTCATGAGTAGAGTACCGGTCTGATTTTTGTCCACATGAGTACCTCCCGGTGAGTCTACGCACCCCTGTTCATTCAGCGAAGATCCTGTGTTCGTTTGGTTGGTCGGGTTTATGCACGAGGAGTGAGATGATTGGGTTAGAAATAAATGTCAGGGTCAGAGCCAACCAGAGGCAGAGTAGGGGAGGGTTGTTTGCTGAATAAAGGTGTGTGTGGGGGGGGGGATAACACCTGCATAAATGTGTGTCTCTGTACATACAGCCTAAAAATACATCTGTTGTTGGTCAATAAATGGTTGATAAATACATGTACAGCGATGTTAATTGATTTAAGAAAAAACTAAACATTTGGCTGGTGAGATAATATAAACACCGACCGTGGACAGGAGTCCTATATTTCATATTTCATATCAATGCTGATGATTGTATTAATGATAAATCAATAAATGCATTGCTCAAGGAAGAAGGAGAGGGAAGAAGGGGATAAGGAGAGGTGAGGAGACGAGGAAGGGAGATGGTACAAGAGTTGGGAAGGGGAGATGAAAGAGAAACAATGCGAAGAGAGGACAGGAGGAAGTAATATAAAAGCACATCATGAAGAACTTTTTACTTTTTTTTAATATTGTCCCTGACTTTTTATTTAATTTCACCTTTTCTGATTCATCAATAAAGTTGTTTTCAAGGGAAAGAAAAACAAGGAGAGTGGAGGAGAGGATCAGAGAGGAGGTGGAATGATGGAAAAGAGAATACAAGGAGGAGGAGAAGAGGGGAGGAAAGAATTGAATTTTAAAAATGGCTTTTTTAATCAAAAGCACCAGAAAACAACAAAAAAAATGTAAATTTGATCTTGTTAAGTGCAAATATTTACATGTAGCAAAAGAAAAAAACAAACAAAAAAAAGAAAGAGGAGACGAGGAAGACAAGTGAGGTGAGATAAAATGAAAAATTACAGAAAAATGTGTGAGGAAGAGAAGGGAGGTAGAGGAGGTGAAGAAGGGGAGATAATGATACTAGAGATTAATTAAATTGTGCTTCATGAGGAAAGGTGTGAAAGAGAGCGAGAGAGGTTTATTTGTTTTCACTCGCTTTCTCCTCTCCTCTTCGTCCTCTTTCTCGTTTCATAACTCCGACACAATATCACGCTCGGTTGCTTCATTCATCGTTGATTAAATTCCCCCTCTCTCTCTCTCTCTCTCTCTCTCTCTCTCTCTTATTCACACACTTCACCTCAGTCTCTCGCCCTCTGAACACACACACACACACTTCACCTCCGTCCACAGAAAATTCACACCATCGCTCACACAGACGCACACAAACACTCGTTACACTGATTGATATAGTGATCATTCACAGCCACATACCTTATAGCAACACACACACGCACACACACACACACACACACACACACACTGTTGGGACTGTTGAATATTTATTGCAGCACAAATATAACAAACACCCTGCAGACAAAACCTCTCTCTCTCTCTCTCTCTCTCTCTCTCTCTCTCTCTCTCTCTCTCTCTCCCTCTTTCTCTCTCTCTCTCTCTGGTGATGTTTGGGTTCTGCCGATTGTTGCTTCATCAAAAATTCAATAACGTCCTCTGTAACCGCGACTGTCACACAGACAGACACACAGACGACTGATCAGAGCAGGAAATAAAACGAGGAGGTAAACAGAGGGGCGAAGTGACAGATAGTGGGAGATGGAGGAAAGAGAGGGAGGGTGAAAAATAGTGAGAGAAACAGAGGAGAGATCGGTAATTCGTCAGCTAGATAGCACAAACATTGTGCCTCCTGCAGCAGTAATCTCTTAAATTTTCTCTTATTTTAAGGTTTTGAATGAGTAGACTTAAAACATAAGTTTTGCATTTCCTATAATATCAGCCTGCTGCATGTAGTGCCCGCATATATCTGTGAGTAGTTCTGAGCTTAAGTGTGATGGTCAGATAGTAAACGGAGATAAGATGAGTCTTTGAACTCAAGAAATATTAACGTCTGAACATTCACACCAATGAAATTGAGCTTTCTGGATTCCATAATGCATGTCCAGAGTATTAAAGCCTATGAATAACCTCAAAATCGACTCCACATGAATCCAAATCGATCCACAGGGAGTTGAAATCAGTAAAATCTGTGTAATTTATGACCCAGTAGTATTTGCATATTGTTGCTCAACATCTGGTACTTGAATTGAGGCAGTAAAGGATAATTATAAAATGAACATCAACCACAGAAGAGATGCAGATTTTGCTGTCAGTACTGGCCCACAGATGGTTAAAACAACTGGACAACTACATCATTTAGAAGTGGATATACTCAATGGTGACTGAAAAATATGTCTGTATACTTGCATATGGTGGAAATATGGCCACTTCTGGTTTAAACAGTAATTTTGTACTTGGGGATTCAGCATCCTAAATACCGCCTCAATATTGCCTCAAAATTGGGCAAGCAGTGGCTGAAATATATACAATTTAAACATATGCAAGTTAGCATGCAGCAGTTTCTAAATGTTTGGGACCCATACTTTACATTTGTAACATAAAGCTTTGGGGTACTCTGTATTTTTAGGTTCATGTCGCTGGAAAGTCGACTAGTGGTACTCTAGTACCTAGTTTTTCTAGGTGGTACACGGTGTAAAACTTTTGATAAACACTGCATTACAATACGTTTTCTCTTGTTCTTCGTCTTCAGGTTATTTGAGACTCTTCAGTCTCTGTTCTGGTCCATATTCGGGCTGTTAAACCTGTACGTCACCAACGTGAAGGCCCGGCACGAGTTCACAGAGTTCATCGGGGCGACCATGTTCGGGACTTACAACGTCATCTCGCTGGTGGTTCTGCTCAACATGCTGATCGCCATGATGAACAACTCCTACCAACTCATCGCTGTGAGTCACATTAAATAGCACTGAAAGGATTAATCAACTGAAAGAATTATCTAGTTATTACGAAAATAATAAGTTCTAGATTTTACAATGTGAGAATTTTGTGCCTTTTCTGTTTTTATCATTGTAAATTGATCATTTTAACTAAAACTTCAACTTTTTTTGATAATAATTCTCGATTAATCTATAAAGTGTTGACAATAAGATATTATTATTATCTTCAAAATATGTCATCTATAATTTTTAACCATTAAAAACTGATGAAGTTAATGAAAAATAAGAATAACTGTTTATTAGATCAGATACCAAAAAAGAAAAGGTCTGTTCCAACCAATATCATGAGCGCCTTTATTATAAAGAACTACATTGCTGTGGGAAACTGTCTTAAGCTTCACCAAACAGCATTAATAACAATAAAAGGTCCCTACAATCAAGTCCTGTCTGCTCTAATGAACTTTAATTGCTTCCAGTTAAAAATGAAAAAGATCACCTCTCAGTGTTACGTGACTTTTTCAACAAGCCGTCCTTGTTTTTGTCCTGCAGGACCACGCCGACATCGAGTGGAAGTTCGCCCGCACCAAGCTGTGGATGAGTTACTTTGACGAGGGTGGCACGCTGCCGCCCCCGTTCAACATCATCCCCAGCCCCAAGTCCATCTGGTACCTGCTCATGTGGCTCCACAACAAGCTGTGCAGGAGAGGCCAGCCGCCTGGGGAGGACTCGCACAAATGTGAAAATCTCAGAGAGTTCACGGTAAGTGAGGACAGAGCTTTTTTTTTATCTTTTAAAGCCCCGATGTGTACAATATTTATCTGCTTTCAGCATCTTTCAGATAAAAAAGAATAAACAATCATGGGTTAAATTTGTGCAGTCTGCAGATCTGATCAGTTGCATGTGTCTACTGGTTTTCAAGCTGCGGTCTGGGCTCTCCAGGGGTCCTTGAAGGGCTTCCAGAGTCTCCAGAAAAATGGGGAATCTTTTAATTTCACTGTTATTTTATTGAGTAGAAGTTAGCCCAACGAGAGAACGTATAAGAAATACTATTCTTCTTTTGTTCATAAGTTTCACACTCTTTACTGTTAATCTGCCCATCTACAGTATTGATGGAATAACTAAATATAATCAGACAGGATCCCTGAGGCTTATCACATATCATATATATCATATATACTACCTGATGTCATCAATCTCAGGGTCCTTGACACTAAAAAGTAGGAATGTCACCAATCAAGAAATTACTGTTTTTGGCTTTTTGCTTTTACTGCTTGCAGTGGTGTGGTCAGCGTGCTCCGCTGTCTATTCTCTATTCCGAGCAGAGGCTAAATCAAAGGATCAATCAGGTTTATTATAGCTCAATATTGCTGCAATACTGATCTTTGAGATTGATCAGGACATCTGTACCAACAAGGTTGAGAACCACTGCTTTACTCCATACACTGGGAGTCAGCAAGGTCAAAAATGTTCATGTTTGTTTCGTGTAACAATTTTGTTGTGGAACTCATAATTATTGTCGATAGGTATAAAGATAAAGCTCTTTATCCTAACAACACATCCTGATGTAGAGTAAGACATAAAACTGAAACTAAAAGGAAATCAAAACTTTGATTGTTCCTTGTTTGTTGTTTTTAAAAGCAGAAAGACCTCTCAGCAACACACTCTGGTAGGGTCGTACTGATGACCTATATTTAATTTAAAGTCAGTATAGTGTTGTAGACTTTACAGGAGTGATGAAGACAACTCACCACACACTGTGCCAAGTTAACTCCTCAAAAAATAGCCTTCAAAGTTTCAACCTCTGTTTTCCTTTCGGCTTGGTATCTTCCAAAGCCAGTAGGCCTACCAGTCTCCAGCCCAGGGGTTGAGAACATCTGACAGAGAGTATTTAGTATTTATAGTCTTATGTCCAGTTTAACTTTCACTTTGAATATACAGCAGGCGTCTCAGCTTCTGGCTGTCGTGGTTGTTGCTTTATTGTTTGTGTCATCAATGTTACGCTTTGTGTGCTTTCCCCCAGAGAGGAATGACGTTTCATTCATCTGTGTGTGAAGAAATGGCGATAAAATTGAAGTTGAACTTGAATGTGATTGCTTGTGACCAAACCAGTGAACACTGCAGTGTTCTGTCTCTTGACTGCTCCACTTCAGATTAAATCCCAAAGTTGAGACAGAATAAAACACAAATGCAAATATTTTATTTATTCATGTGTAGCTTAATATGTTGGCGTGGCCATGTGCCTGTCACTGAACAGTCATGCAAACAAGCTGCACAGGCTAAAAGGCCATATGCTGACATTCATGTCAACAAGTCACTGGAGAATTCACAGGCTTTACATGCAAATGGGTTACTGTGAACTGTACATTCACAAGTTAAAGAAACATGCTTCAAGAGTCTGTTTTGTTTTTTTCAGTTCGAGTCCAGCAGGAACACCAGAAGCTCAGATGATAACAGACTGTAAACAAACCAGAATTGTTGGAAGAATAAATCTGGGTTTTATACCTCAGTACTTCCTGAGTCAGCTGTGTTTTACAACTTTGGTTTGTTTTTGCTAAATTAACCGAAGAATATTGAGATTGTAAGTTGATTCTTGACCACAGAAACACCAGTTGGACGTCTTCCATCACAACTGGGCACAGGTTAACAGGAGTGAAAGGCACAGGCAGGTACAGGATCCAGGTTTCAGGGGCTGGAAAGCAAAGGCAGGAAGCAACATTGGGCCTCTTTTTGTGGCATTGATTGTGGCATAGATTGGATCCAGTTAGTTTTGGTCTAACGTTGCTATTTTGCGAGCACGCTAAAGAACTGTGACCTGCCGTCATCACCGAATCTGCATCAGCACCATCAGAGTCTCTATGAATGTAGATCTAGACCGAGAGCCCCTCTTTTGGTTGGCTGTTTAGTCCAGACCCTGGAGGTTTCACACCTCTAATTAAAACTGTCAGGGCTGCTCAGGAGTTAGAGCGGGTCGTCCACTAATCAGAAGGTTGACAGTTCGATCCCCAGCTCCTCCCGCTGCATGTGGACGTGTCCTTGAGCAAGATACTGAACCCCAGATTGCTCTGGATGCTGACATTTAGTGTAAAGTGGGAGTGGTTGGAAGACCATAATTTTGGTCTGAAAGCGCAGACCAAATGAAGTCAGTATGAGAGGGCAACTGATAGACACTCAGGCAACTGACTGGGGAAACTGGGTTCTTCTAAATACTGACAGGGTTATTAGGGACATGTGAGCAGGTGGATGTTGGAGTCATGTGACAGGTGGGAAAGTCCGAGGGTATCTTGTGGACAGGTATAGAAAGGCAAGTCTGGAGAGCTCCTAAGAAATGCACTGTGGGAAGTGAAGACAGGGGCAGAGCAAAATAAAATCAACATCTGTCGAGTCAACTGTAGAAATACAGTGCAGCGGAAGTATAAAGTAGCATGAAAAAAATGAATAAATTCAGAGCCCTGCGATCAATCAGAGCAGAAGGACTCATCGACCGACCTGCTCAGACTAACGGAGCAGTGTGGGGATGAAGTGGATCACGTATCGGTTTACAGAAATACAATCGCACAGAGACGGACATCAGCTGTGAGTCTGTGAGCACAGAAGGAACATCAGCGGATAAACACGTCCTGATGAACACATTTAACAGTCCAGTCATCTGGAGAGAGACTGTGAGAGCAGGCAGAGCAGGATGATAAGGCTTTTTCACATACACACACACACACACACACGAACAAACACACACATAAACACACACACACGAACAAACACACACATACACACACACACACAGTGCAGCTGCCATGTTCACCTCAACTGAAGTCAGCTGCTGAGTTATATAAGCCCACCAGCCCACATAGGTTCACAGAGCCACACAGCACTGCAGAGATCTGATCAAGGGAGAGAGCCTGTGTGTGTGTGTGTGTGTGTGTGTGTGTGTGTGTGTGTGTGTGTGTGTGTGTGTGTGTGTGTGTGTGTGTGTGTGTGTTGACAGTATAAGCATAAAAACAGCATGAGATGTGGAAGGCAATGAAAGCTCTGAAGAGGGGGAGAGATAGATTGTTAAAGGAAGATGTGGGGTGTGTGTGTGTGACTGTGTGTGTGTGTGTGTGTGTGTGTTACTGTGTGTGTGTGCGAGTGGACAGCAGGGAGAGAGCGGAAGACAAATTAGAAATGTGGACGGAGTATGACAAGTGTAAAACAGGATGAAAGGGAAATGGAGGCAGAGAGGTGGAATGCTGAATATGGGACTGAAATTGAGTATAAAATGAAAACGTGGAGAGAGGAAATGAAACAAAACAACCCAAGAGGAGATGGGAATGATGGATGTGTGAATGGATATTGTAAAGGTTCAGTATATCATATAGTAGTATATGTTATAAAAAAAACAAACACACACATACTGTGTAAGTCAGAAAATAAAGTTTAACAACCAGAACCTACTCAAAGATAGTGTTCAGTCATCTTAAGAAGAATAAAACACTGAGTTACAGCTGATACAGTTTCATATTTCATGAATAAACTCGGATTTTTATGTTCAAACGTCAAAAGAAACAGAAATAAAATCCAGAATATTTTCCAATAAAAATCCAAATCTAATTAATTCTTGAAAAACAGACCTCGTTTTTTGCATTATCCTGTTTAAATCCATCTAGAATAAAAACTATTGTCGCTAGAGCAGAAATATATTGTTCAGGTTTCTACATTTAGAACTCCTTTGACTCACTATGTTTTTTGTTTTTATTAATAGAATTTGATAATTATTTTATATTTATGATTCAATTTCAAATTTTTTTTCAATTATTATGGTTTTATTGACTTATAGAACCTTTTAGCTGCGAATCATTTCAAGATACTCAAAGAAATGGCATCACAGGAAGCAAAAATACCAATGTAGGTAGCGGCGAACCATTCAAGAGTTCAAAGGGTTTAACGCTATTTTTCTTCAAAGCTCAGATTCACCTGTGTTTGATTTCTCTCACGCAGCAGCACCTGAACGCAACACTGTTAAGTAACCATCGACGAGTAGTGTCCAGGAGCAGACTGTCACATAACCAAAAGATCTTCAGTGTGACTCAAGTGTCCTTTACCTCCTACCTCCGTGTCAGAAATACAAAACCAGTCTTGATTATTAAAATGCGTCTGAAAGCACTTCCGCAGCACTCGAACGTCTCATTACTGCGGCCTCAGTTTATCACTTCATTCCTAATGCTGACAAATCTTCATCACAGCAACAGAAGCGAGGTATCATCCTTTTACAGAGAGCGAGCATCATCCACAGTGTAGGGGAGGTAGTAACTTAAATAATACATAATAGATACTTTCATCCAGGGATTCCCAGGGGACGAGTACTGCTGGAGGTACTTCTGCATTTGCCAGGAGGTACTCGTACGTGGAAAAACTGTGGAGCAGCTCAGTGAATTTGAAAAAGAACAACACATATATCCACACACTTGGGAGTTAGGGAGGCAAACAAAGACACAAATGGGATTACAAATTGGTGTGAGGCTGATCTTTAGGATATTTATTATTATATAAAACACTGCGAGTTAGGTGGACTCGAGCTGAGGGAGCTGGATAAAACGTCCAGCTTAGAGAGTAAAACGTAACATCAGCATGTTTCACTGTTTCTTGACTGCAACATTATCCACTTTTTATACAATTAATAGTATTTAATAGCATCCGGTAGAGGTTAAAGGTAAAGGTAGCAGGCTGCATGATATGGTAAAACATCATATTGCGATATGGGAATGATCTTTTTTGCATCACAATTTTCGTTTTCACAGAAAACGCTTAGAATTATGATTTTTTAAAAATATTTTTCATGGGTCTTTAACAAAAACAAACATGTTTCCTTCAATCTGGAGATTTGCAGGCCACAGTTCTTCATTATAAGGCTGTTTGTCACACATTTTACCTTTATATTATTAAAAATTGCAGCTTCTGCAACTTGGATTATGCACTTGGCCACATTGCAATGTCAATTATAAGATCAAATAGAATAAAATAGGATGGAAACTACTGCTTTAATCAAAGGGATACAAACATACTTTTCACTTTAAAAACCACAACATCTAAAGCTCCTGCATAACAATCACTTCTGGATCCAAACATATTCTTAGAATAAAATTAAAAAAGACTTTATTGAGATTTTTGTGTTGCTGGAGTTTGAATTTGTTGTCACTTAAGTAGTGGAAGCATATCTATCTGCATTGAATAGAAATAATTGCCTTTTTACTGAAATAATAGTTTCTGATTTGAATGCACATTTATCATGTTGTCTGTTATTTTCTCTCCTTATCATCTTCCTTTTGTAAAGTATTTAGTAAGAAAAAGCTGCGTGAACAACATTTATTGGCGCTCTCAGTCTGCAGCGTAAGTTGCAGAGTGAAAACAGTGAATTATATAGGTCTGATTTGATGCTGTAGCTCTCTAAAAATAACCTGAACGCTCTCAGTACTCTCGATTCAATCGGTTCCATCATTTGAGGGGGTGAGAGGAGCGTTTTAAAGAGAATATACTCACATTTTCGCTCATATTTGTCACCTAGATGACTGCGATTATGGATGAAAGCGTGAATTAAAGGTCTAAAATGTAAATGAAGAGCAGAACTTAATATTTTGAGTAGAGAAAGAATGATTAACTGGAGTTCATTACTCAGCACCTCTCCAATATGGAGGATCCAGGCTGTTAAAGTGTCATTCTGTCAGCCAAAGGCAATTTGTTACCTCTTTTGTTCTAGTTTTTGCTGCAATTAATCATTTTTCAGAAGAGGACATCACTGTTTTAGAAAAACAAGTGTGGATATGTTTGATTTTGTAAGTGTGTGTAATATCAGGAGAAAAAAAAATGGTAAATGAGAGCAAAGAGAAAGAGAAACAAAGTATTGTGTTGATGAATGCAGAAACTTTTAATATGATTTCTTTTTCTTTCTGCAGGAACGTCACGCGGACAGTCTGATACAGAATCAGCATTACCAGGTCTGTACTCCCATCACAGCCTTTGTTTGTTTGTTTGTTTGTTTGTTTGTTTGTTTGTTTGTTTAGTGTGTGTAGAGGTGTGTTTGCATGTAAATACAGAATACAGTCTCCACAGCAACCCAGAACCTGATCCAACACGTTAAAATTTTGGTCAAATACGCTTGTTTAAACGCCGAGAGTTGGATAAAAGGATCAACACCACTCTGACTTTTAGCTTAGCTTAGCATAAAGACTGGAAATGGAGGGAAACAACTAGCTTCGCTCTGTCAAAAGCTAACAAGCTATGTAAAGTTTGACAGATATGAGAGTTGTATCAATCCTCTCAGCTAACTAGGGGTTTATTCCCAGAGAATATGAGGATGAGAGGGGGGATTTTGTTACCAGCACGTCTGAAACTCACAAATCATCACATTTTATTTGTTTATTTAGAAGAAAAAGTGTAAAAAGAACAAGTTATGGTTTTACGAGCAGTAATGTGCTTCTCGGCTGGGTGCCTTGACTTCCTAGAGCCTCTCCAGGCAACCAGCGCTGCACACACACACACACACACACACACACACATGCAAATCGCCAGTTGCTGGACTAGCACGATAAGTAGTATGTTTAACACGTCAGATGCCAAAGATACCAGGGTGTCCTACTGCATACAGCTGCATTTCGCCGTATGCAAGCCAGCGCTCTACTCTTGACGTTTCTGACCCACAATCATCTGTTCAGCGTAAAATATGTCACAGCGACTGAGCCGCAGAGAGCACAGACGGACTGCTGACTGCTCATTTGTTTATCACTTGTTTAACGTAAAGATACCCAGTAACAACAACAGAGAAATCATATGTAGTTTTACTGTTTTACTGCATGTTACATACATTATAATGTAAGTACAGTAAAGTGACAGCAGGTTTGATTGTCACACATATTTGTATTTTTAGAGTTCCTCCATAAAAGTGTCTTCTGATCTGAGTTAAACTGAGCACCTCTTTCACAAACACTGAACATTGCTTTTGGCAGCTGCGACTGTAATTCCGATGTCCAGTTTTTTTTTGTTTTTTTTGGGCGGATTTTTGTCAGAATTTGTGCAGCAAATCAACCAAGACGCAGCTCTTGTATTTTGACACCTCAGCACTGGCAGCGACTACAAACGCAGCATCGCCAGTACTTTGTCTTTGGCAGTGCTGATTGTTACTTTGATACCCGTCCATGTTTTTAAAGGATTGTTGTGGAGAATCTGCCCTTCACTTTAACGGAGTGTGTGGTGTGTTTTGGCAGAGGCGGAGAGTGACAGCATGCCAGACCATCCCGTTTGGCAGTCACAGGTGTTGACTGTGGGAGGACGCAGTGTGTGTGTGTGTGTGTGTGTGTGTGTATGTAGCAGTGTGTGTGTGTGTGTGTGTGTGTGTAGCAGTGTGTCAGGGTTTGAATTACCGCCTACTGAGCACCAAATGCTGGTGAAATGTGTCTGTGCTCTTTAAATCAATAAGGGTCACCCGCCTCATTGGCAGATTACTTAATGAGACAATAACATTTAAATTCATCAGTTTGGTGGAATTATTCTGCATTTGGTGACAAAACAAGGCAAGGGAACAAGTTTAAAATTATCACACCGGTTTTATTCATGACCAATAAAAAACACTATGAATGGGAATTGTTCCTTTCCGTTATTATTTAGTCTCAAATAGTTAAAATATTATATAGCACAGGACTTGAACTCTAATTTTCAAAAGTTTCCTCGAGAACAATATATAAATGATTATGATACAATTACACAAATTTGAATGTTTTCAGATCTTCATGTTTACAACAAAACTCATAAATCATGAAAAAAAAACAACAACGGGAAATCAGGATAAATACTCGTTAAAGTCGGTGTTGGCTTCTTTTACAGGCTTTTGAACAAAAGTTTGTTCAAATTAAACACACTGAGAATAAATTACAGTTTTTGATCGTCTGTGCACCAGAATATTTGAGCTATTCAAGCTATTTTATGTAAATTGACACTCATGACTCATCATAGCATGAACAACACAAAAGAAAATTAAACTCACTTTACAGATGAATATTTTTGAATAGAAGCTCTCAAGTGTTCAACCAAAGATGTAACATTCAGATTCAGCCCCAGACTTATGTGTAATATGTATCCTTTCCTCTTTCTTTAAACTTGAATGAAATCTTACTACCGATGGAATTAAAAATAAGAATTTTTTTTTTTAAACTGTTAGGGACTCAAAAATAAAGCCAATATGTTGAATAAAGCAACAAAATAATGAACTGAGCATTCTAATAACAATAATAATAATAATATTTGTTTGTTATTTTGCCAGCCACCTAAATCTATTTTACCTAGTTTTTATTATAACTTATATTAAACACTCTTGTTATGTCTATAAAATAAAGTTAATTGTCATTTTTATCTATGTATTTTATGTTTCAATCTACTTTAATTAGTTTTTATTCCAGTCAGTCTAATTATCGTCTTACCAATCATCTGTGAAGGACTTTGAACTGCACTGAACTGTATGAAAGGAGCTACAAATAAAATTTGATTGATAATAATAACTTTTCAAACTACCTTTACAAAGTGCTTCACGAAACAAGCAGGAGATGCTTTAGTATAAAATAAAAGATAGAAGGACAGATAGAAGTTTAAAAACAGAAACAGATAAAAACAATTTAAAAAAGGCCAGATGGTAAAAATGAGTCTAAAAAGAGGCCAGTGAATTTTCTGTACTTATTTCCTGAGGCAGGTTATTCCAAAGGGTCGGAGGCCCTATGGATATAAAGCTCTTCACCGTAGGACCTCGGGCTATGGGCTAGAGTGTCATGAGTTAGAGGCTCAGCCAGGTAGCCGTACCACGCAGGGCCTTCAAACTTAAGACGTTAAAACTTTAAAATCAATTCTAAAACGGAGAGGCAGCTGGGAAGCTCAAACAGAGGAGATCATGCTTTCTAGATTTGCTTAAAACTCTGGCAGGCTGCGTTTTGGACACCCTGAAGCCGTGTAATCGAGTTTTAGCTATAAGGCATTAAAAAGCGTAGTAAGTAACCGTGGCAACTGTCTCCCAACAGGAAGTGATCCGGAGCTTGGTGAAGAGGTACGTGGCGGCCATGATACGCAGCGCCAAGACAGACGAGGGACTGACGGAGGAGAACTTTAAGGTGGGTACTTTAAAAGGAGCAGCAGTGGCAGACTAACTGAACACTGCTCGCGTCTGTATTTGACGAACTAGGAATGAGAGTGTGTAGGGAAAAGGAGAAATCTAGAGCGGTGTAAAAAACGTCTCATTTTAAGGCAACAAAAACCCAATGACTCTTATTTTCAGGTGATTAAACATTAATGAAAACATACTTATAAATATTAGATTCCCTTTCTGCCAATAGATCCTCCTAAATGTTACACACCGGACCTTCGAGGTGCAGCTGTTGTCATGGTGACGGCTTATGTGGATCGAAAAAAACCAAAACAGAAAGAGTTTAAATATTGAATAAGTCTTTGTGTCGTGTTACAGTAAATGATTTGTGGTCTGTAGCTGGACGCAGTGCTCTGCTGTTTATTTGCAGCTTTTATTGATACCAAATTCAGAGCTGTGCTTCATGGCGACCAAGATTTATTAAAAGATTAAAAGATATTTAATAACCACCACCTGCCAGCTCTCGAGCACTTCTTTCTCCTCGTCTGCTGCCCAAAAAATCTACAGCTCTGATCAATACCAACAGCTCACAGTCAATAATCCTTGAGGAGAGTTTCTTTTTCCCAAAAAATCTTTTGAGCCGTAATTTATTCCGAGTGGTTTTAGCTCCCATGATGCCTCTGGAGCCTAGCCTGGGCTTTTGAAGTGGAAAGTTCCTTTGGGCTTTTCAATGCAAAAACAACATCAGGTGCACATCGGGCTGAATCAGTGTGTGTGTGTGTGTGTGTGTGTGTGTGTGTGTGTGTGTGTGTGTGTGTTTTAAGTGAGATATGAGTGGTCACAATAGGCAGAGAGTGTGTAACTAACATCAGGTGCATGTTGGAGTAAAACCATGTTTTATTCTCTGAGGAATAAAACCACGTGTGCCACATTTGGATCCCATATGGCAAGCGAAAAAAAAGAAAGAAAAAGACAGGGAGTAGCTGTGATCATATTTTAAAAAGAAAATAAATCAGGTTGAGTTATTTTTGGTGTGTGTGTGTGTGTGTGTGTGTGTGTGTGTGTGTGTGTGTAGAAGTGAACAGAGTGAGTGTTTATTTAGGAATTTATGTTAATTGTCTGAAAGCTTCAGGCTAAATGCTGCAGGTTTGGTTAAAAATGATCTAATTCCCATTAAGAAGAAGAATATAAGGGAATAAACACACTCTCAGATGGTGGTGAACTGATGACAGATCACATGATCATTTTATTTATGTTCAGTTATAAATTGATTGGTGGAGTTTACAAAATGTTATAAAATATTTGAGGCTGATGCTGATATTGGTGTTTGATTAAAGCACATATTAGCAGATATTTGTGGGTTTTCAAAGGGGAACTTCCCTTATTTGTTACATAAAGGTCTGTTTACTGGTATTGGTGATTATGACAGCTCTCTGCTGCATCAATATTAACCAATAATATTCTTTTTTTTTTTTTTTAAATGTGTCCTTGGTTCAAATCTTCCAAGTCTTCCAACTTTATATATTTTAGTCCAATACTACGTCGTTGAGTTACTCTTTAACGTAAACTCATAACAAAGAAATATTGAAAAACTCATCACAAAATAATACAATACAATACAAATGTTTTTATTAAAATGACTTATCTTATCAAAAGAGCAGGATTTGATTGGTATTGCTTGGAGGTCACAAAAAACATAATGTAGGATAAATAAAAAATAGGATAATAATAATAATAATAATAATAATTTTAACGGAAGTGGACTTGATGGATCCTAAAGCTGGATTTAAATCGATGCAGCAGAACCAGATATATCGTCTTTTTTTTGTTCTTCTTTCTTGTCAAAACTTGCTGCCTACATTACCCACAATGCAACTTGACTGCCAACAGGTCAGCCAGATATTTAGGTGTGTTGTGCTAGTTAGCGACCAGTGCTTGGCGTAACCAAGCGGCAACTCTCGCTGCTGGGACTTGACACCAAAACAGAAGTAACATAAACTGCAGTTCCTCTAACGGCCACTTGAGGCTGGCTCCAGCAGCGAGTCCACCTCCAGAAGGGCCCTTATTAAAACATTAGACAGTGTTTCAAGTTTAAGTGAGTTAACCAATTTTATTTAGTTAGAAAAAATCAGTTTACTGGAGTCTCTTCCCTCGACCGACCCCTCTCTCTTTAGTCTCCACTCATCCACTCTCTCACTCTCTCTCTCGTTCTTTTGTTTGTCTCTTGACCTCGATCTCCCTCTCTTCACCACCATCCTCCCGAGTCCTTACCCTCCTCTTCACCCTCTGCCTCTACAAATTGACGTTTCACCTCCCCCTCTCTCGTTCAGTCACCAGTCTCATCTCTCCCACTTCCCCTCCTCACCCTCTTCTTCTGCTCCGCTTTTTGTCTCGTGTTTATCCTCTGAACATCAGATATCTATTCAGCTTGAGAATAAACTTTGCAACATGACAGTTTCATGTGTTCTTTCTATATTTCTTCTTCGACTTTTTCTTCCTTTCTGTCTTCCTTTACTAAAGCAGCAGGGTTCACATGTTAAATATTACCAACAGTTTCCTCTCAATCTCTTTCCAGGAGTTGAAGCAGGACATCTCCAGTTTCCGCTACGAGGTCCTGGATCTCCTCGGCAACCGGCGTCCTCCCCGGCGACATTACTCCTCCTCCAGCGAGACAGCGAGAGACGACGGCGCCATGGCCTCGGAGGATGACAGCGAATCAGGGGACGGCTGTGGAGGTGGAAGTCAGAGGTCAAAGGGCGTGACATTCATGACGCCGGTGGAGGACGACACGAGGCCGACGCTTGGCGTGTCTGCTTTGGTGCGCTCCATATCTGGAATGACGCAGATCGAAAGAGGGGGAGAGGGTGAGGAGGGTGAGGCGGAGGAGGGCATTGGATGGGGGGGGGAGGAGGAGGAGGAAGAGGAGGGGAAACCAAAGAGCAACGGGCTGAAGACAACCGTCATCCCTCCGTCCTCCACCACCGTCCTGCCCTCCCCGTCCTCGTCATTCTCCTCGTCGTTCACCTCGTCACTCGCTCGTACACGGACCCGCCTGCAACGCTTCTCGGCTCCGGGTGCAAAGACAGACTCTTTCAAACGCCTCTCCTATCTGTTCTCACGCTCCAAACGCAGAGCCCCACCCATGCCTCTCCCCCTCCAGTCCCCGCCCTCCTACACCATCTCCGACGGGTTGCTCCGCCCCCTGGGGAGCCACAGCCACAGCCACAGCCACTCCGACTACGGACTCAGTAACGTGACCAGAAGCGAGACTTACCTGAACCAGGTGGGCCGCTCAGTCGACATCAATAACCCCTCGTTCTCCCCGCGGAGAACAAACGGGCGGGACTCGCTCCTGACACTGCCCCTCCCGCCCCCGTGCCCCTGCCAATCCCTGCACTGTGCTTCCAATATGTCCGAGTCCAGCTCGCGCCTCCTGGACTCCAGCGAGGACGTTTTCCAGGGCGGAGGCGTGGGAGGAGCGGGCGAGGGCGGCTTGGATGAAGGAGGGGGAAGAGTAGGGGTGATGATGATGGGCGGGTGGGTGGGACCATGCGATGATGTCATAGAGGACAGCTGTGAGGTCATAGAGGACTCCGTCACCACACAGCTATAGGAGAGAGGGAGAACCGAACTGTTGTTTTTTTTGGTTTTTTTTGGTTTGTTTGTTTGTTTGCAAATGGCTGAACGCATCCAGAGGGAGAGATACAGAGAGAGAGGTGGAGGGTGGGAATCCAACGGAATCCGCTTTGGAACTCATCGGTGTGGATTCCGGAATTCTGTGGCGGAATTCTAGAATGCAACACTTCTGCGAACAGGGTTCCGTGGTGGTTCTGGTAACACCGGCAGAGGACAGAAGGGATCCTGAAATGGCAGATGTTCATCAAGGCAGTTTGACGTCCTCTGATTATCTGGCTGTCAGGGATCTTCCAGGGAATATGGCGCAGGCTCATCGTCCACTCATTGCTCCAAAATATCAGTTTGAAAAGAATGCAAGCTAAATGGCTAGCGAGCACTATAGCGAGGGCGGTACCAAGCTAACTTGTTACTACATGGCCTACCTATCTAGAGAGCGAGGGGACTACCAAATATCAACTCTAGCAAGCGCTAAATAGCTAGCAAGCACTATAGAGAGTGGCAAACCTACTACTAAATGGGCTAACTAGCTAGAGAGCTACCAAATATCAGTTTCAGAAGAATGTCCGGCACTATACAAGTTAGCCAGTGAGCTAAATAACTAGCAACACTATAGAAAGTGAGGTACCAGGTTAACCTGCTACTAAATGGGCTAACTAGCTAGTAAGTGAGGGAGCGACCAAAGTAACCTGCTAGTGAGATAAACTGTCAGTGAGTTAGCGAACGAGATAGCGATGCGAAGCGTTCATGACATCCCTGAATTGGACGTATTTTATCATAAAAACTGGATTTACTGGATTTACTTTGTGCGGCTCATTGCATATGCTAGTCTCTTTCCCTTGAGCTTCTCCCACTTTAAACTTTCCATAGCGATAACATCAGGTAGAAACAACCTTTTCTAGTCTCTGGGAAAGTTTTACACTCATTAAACCCTCATGATCTAAAAGTTCATAACACAAAGAGTAATAATTGATTTGTCAGCGGTTTGTCTCATGTTTAATCGTGGTCTATGGGCCAATTGCTCTTGAGCTTCTGAGGATTTCTTCTTCTTCAGGTCTTACTCGCCGTGCTGTTTCCATGCATCTCTCAGCTCATCATATTTATGGTCCCGTCGAGGTTAACGGGCATCTATTTATGGCCAATCTGTCTGTATAAACGTCTGCCATTTCCTCTGCATGCCGCAAGAGTGCAAAGGATGGGATTTAAAATGGAGAGTACAAACCTTTTTTTCTTCTTTCCTCTTGGAGATTCAAACGCGCATGATTATAATGGAATTACAAGTAGCCAAAGTGACATTTCAGAAGGGAAAATATCGTTAAAAATCCCTGTTTGATTTTCAACACACAATGCTTTCTTTCCCTTTAAACCAAACTTCAAATCTGTAATGGATTAAAAATGGAATTAAACCCTCTTTAGACCTCTGGAATTTGAATGGAACTACCCCTTCAACTCATTTTACCTTCAGCCAAATGGACTGAATCCCGCTTCCAAACGAAATGTGACTGAAATTGCAAACAAACGGAATAACCTCCCCTTCAACTCTGGAATCTGATGGGAAATGGAAAGGCATTGGAACCATTGCTCTGCTGTCGATAGCCCGCACCCTCTCTCTCTGCATCAACAAGGGCCAAGGAACTTTATTTTATCCTAATAACAGTTATACTAGTAATAATAATAACGATAATAATAATAATAAGAGACTTCTAATAATAGTTACGAGGACTATTCTGGTTTCTAAAGACTGTCTTTGCTTCTATTTGAGTTGCCTACGATATTCTGGCTTCTCGTTCAGCTCTTCCTTAATAAGTACACTTTAACCTGATGAATTAAAATATACGGTGATATTTATTGTGAGGCGGAGCGATGGCGGCTGTGTGAGTGAGTGGAAGGGAGGAAGGCAAGGGGAGAGGCAGGGAAAGACGAACTGAGAATGTTGTGTGGATGAAAGAAAGGGGAGAAAGAGAGGACAAAGAGGAGGACTGAGTGAGGAACAGGTGGAGAAAGTGTTGCCTTTCGATCTGGGAAATCTATTTTAAAGGGAAATTTCACCAGAATTTCATCATGATTTTTTTTTCTTTTTTTTTTCTTGAAGTCGCCTGGCACGGTGACTTCAAAAAGGTTGGCATGAGCAGAGGCTGTTAAATTTTACTCTGGTTAATATACGACTGTCAGCGATGAAGTATAGAAATTATGCATGTTTGATCAAAAAAAAACCACCGTTACCTGCAACACACATACAAACACACACTCAAAATGCCATCTTGTGTGATGAGTAGCTCCTGGCCAAGTGTTTTGCCCTTCCCAAGGTCTCTCCTGAGTCCTCCACTGTCTCCTTCTTCAGCGGGATGACATCAGCGCTTTGTCTTTCCTCTTTCTTTCTCTTTCCACCCCCTTTTCCCTTTGATTGATTCACCCCTTTTTCTTCCTCCCTACCTTTATTTCTCTTCCTAACCTCCAACCAGATGCTCCGCAAACACACGCACGCCCCCCTCCGGCAGACGCCGCGACCTCACCACCAGCTGTCTTTTACCCGTTGATGAATCAACGTCCCAAAATGTCATGGCGTAACCATGGCGACCCGATTACCCGCTCAACATGTCTGTAATCATAATGTCACGTCCAGAGCCAGAAAAGCTCTGCGCGGCAGTGGTTAGTGATGACACCCGTCTCTTTTGTATTTGAAAACAATCAATTTGATGTCATTTTACATCCCACCAACAACACAGAAAGACAAATGTGCAAAAGACGTGACTAACATCTAACTTTTAACCCTTACTGTAACCACAACATGCTTGCTGTTTTTCCAAAAGCTTAAATTGACCTTTAGTTGCCTGACAAGGAGCCCAAAGGGAGCAGGGTGAAAAGGTTAGTCAGCAAAGTGTGTATTAAAGTCAACCGTATTGTTTCTCCAACAGTTTCTTGACCTTTTTAATCATTTTCTAACTTTAAAACTAAAATCTCACCTGTTGTTAAAAAGGTGTTTCTTACTTACTACTGTTTAACGTAAGGATTAGGTAACCTGTAACCAGTCTCACACAGCCAGACCTCCAGATCTCCACACTTCTTCTTTTACACTGTGCTGGTTTGTCTTTCTTCAAACCAATCTTAAGCCTATCTATCTAAGCCTAGGATGCAGCGCCAGGAAAAACCGCCTGTAACTTGCTTTAGACTTTGGGTGACAAAATATAAAATAGATGTTTTGGTTTTGCTATGTACACAATCTGAAAAATTATCGAAGTTTTAGAGGAATCTGTTTGAAATAAAAGATGCGTTAATCCATAATTAGTCTTCTGCCAAATGTTAAAACCAGGACAGTTGTTCACTTTTAAACTCTTAATAAATAACACCTACTGTAGGGATGTGTTTTTAACTTTAAAACCCATTTACTCATAAATATTTAAACGTAGAATATGTGATTTCTCTTGCTATAGGAGGTCTGTCAGAGAAAAGCAGTAACAAAATGTGAAGTTTGATGACATTGTGAAGCAGCGTGGGATCATGGGAGTTGTTGTCTTCACCACCATTACATCATTGCAGTCAGCTTCTCCCGGTTAGGATTCCTTCAGTGTTCATCGTTCAGGAGCTGAATTATCCACAGAGGTCTCCTCCTCTCCAAAACAAACAGGCCTGCTGATTAAAACAATCAAAAACACTGAACAGGGCTGCGAGCCGAGCTGCTGCTAACGTTAGCTCAGCTTGTTTCTCTGATAACTTAAGATCCAGACGTCCAATGACTAAAATCCTTCATCCGGTTCAAATCTGGAGTTAAAAACCAGCAAGTGAATCATAAAAACGTGGCTTCAAGAAACCTTGTTTGTCTTCATCAAAAAACGGTCTCTAATAAACTCACTTCCTCAAAGCTGAGCTAAACTGTTGCACCGCCTCCAGGAGGCCAAATAAAAACGAGTTAATCCATCTTTAATGCATTGGGATATTAGAAAAATGTGAATTAACATTTACATTTTCTTGTGATCCCCCACAAGGCTCCAGGCATTTAATAAATCAATGGTTTTTATTCGTTAGCTCAGTCTCACATTGAGCAAGTGGGGTTTTGGGAGTTTATTGATTTCTGAAAAGGGGTTCTTGATGAGAAATAACCCGTAATCAGCATCATTGACAAACTGTACGTGGAGGAATTAAAGTCCAACGGTGAGCTTTACATTCTGGATTAAACAGCTGTTCAGTCAAGAGTCGGAGCCACAGAAGGAACAACGTACTGTTTCAGGAGAGTGATTGTGTCTGACAGGGAAGGAGGATAAAGAAAGAAAGGAAGGAGAGAGTCCAGGTGGAGATTTGTTATGCTCCGCACTCGGCACAGTAAAGTGACCTCTCCGGGTCCCAAAGTGTTTTCTGTTTGCAACTTCTGGTTGATAGGAATGGGAGAAAAATAACAGAAAGGGGAGCAAAAAAAAAATCTAATTAAAATATTTTATTATGATATTAAATCCTCATAATTTCACCCATTTTTATATTTGAGCTGAGTCTGGTGCTGCTGCAACTGATTAACCATTAAAACAAAACAATAAAAATCTCATTTATTAAGCTGGAAACAATGCTGCTATTCCTCACTGCCTTCAACTCAACAAGATACATGGAGACTGCAGATAAAGCAGAGGAAGGAAGGGAGGGAGGGAGGGAGGGAGGGATTGGAGGGTAAAAAAGACCAAAAAAAAAACCAAGCCTGAGTTCTCTTGGTTACCACGGCAACCAGCCTGCGTGTCACCACCCCATAATCAGGGCCGCGCAGTGCCACGCATGCACCGAGCCGGAGGGTTTAATAATCAATCACCCTTCATCAATCGCTGTGACAACGGTCGGCTGTTTGAGAAAGTTTTAAAGGGTGCTTCCACCCGTCCTAGTTTTATTTAGAAATATAGGAAATAAACGCAGGGATGCAGACAGAAGACGATTGATTAATTGAAAGGACAGATTGATTGATACTGCAGACAGCGTGTGTGTGTGTGCGAGTGCTGTCTCTAAGGCTTAAGGCTCACCGTCTGTTATTAACGCCAAACACACACAGGACTGATAGTCAATCACTCTGATAGATCAATATTGATAATGGCTGTCTGATCCTGGGCCTTTTTAACCCCGCTGCAGGATGTGTGTGTTTGTGTGTGTCGCCCAGGGATTATTGATCCAGCCAGAATCCATAATTAAATTCTGTTGATTGATATGTATTTATACCAGGCTCTGGACGAATACTCTGTTCTGATTGGCTGCAGGTTGCCCATTAATTACTGATGTAGGACGCCTACTAAGTAGTTCCAGTGACTGATAGGGAGGTTGTCTTGTTGTTAAACATACTTTCAGATGATATTTACTGTTTGTTGATCGTACGCAGCGTTATTGATTTTGACTCTTAGCATACCGCTCTCTGGCCCGTAGCTGAGCGATGGATTCGTCCTGTTTCCTGGATTAGTGAACAACGTTTCTATTGCATAAGAACCTTTAGGGATGGTAATGACTGTTTCAGATATTAGTCAAGCACAATGCTGTAGTATTCACACTCTTACCAAATGTTCTAGTTGTTCTCGACTGAGTCCCGTAATATATGATTTTAAGATTTTTTTTCTTTCTGATCCACTGATTGAATAAACAGATATTAGTTTAAATCCTCTCATCTCATTGGCAAACACATTCTTACTTTTCTGTCTCGGTCATATGGTCTCGACATGTACTCAAGCCCTTTTTGGACTCAACTAGTCCTGGTCTTGTACTTGGTATTTGATCTTGACTACAGCACTGGTCAAACCTTCAGGTTTTGGGCGCCCGGTTAGCTCAGTCGGTAGAGCTGGCGACCCATATACGCAGTGTCATCCCCTCTCTCTCTGCCCCCCTTTCTGTCTCAAGCTATCTCTGTCAATAAAAAGACATAAAAGGCCAAAAACATAATACTTTAAACCTTCAGGTGTTACCAGGGAAACGGAGGGTGTGGCTTGTGAAAAACATTAGATTTTAACTGCAAAACACGTGAAAATATAATAATTTTTCTTCAGCTGCTGACCATCGTATAAGCGGGATTAAGCCCTTTAAGGTGTTCATTATCAGGAATGAACGGACTCTGTGGAGGCGGACGGTTCTGGACTCGTACACATCGTACATTAATTCCTGATAATGAACACCTCGAGGGGCTTAATCCCTTATTTATTGAAATAAGACAGTGTGTGTGTGTGAGAGGCAGTAACTGCAATAGAGAAACAAATTGAGCATCATTAAAGATGATGTGTCTTCTAAAGAGACAGATGGGACACACACACACACACACACATAGACTTTAATAGCAGTAGGCATGAGGAAGAGAAAGGCACGCGCTTCCTCTCATGCATTATTCACACACGCAGACATATGACCACTGACCAGCTGCAGGTTCTGACTGTAAATTGTTTGAGGCGGCTGCAGCCTCCAGTCCACTATAATAACCCTGTGTGATCTCTGTAATGTGAATCTCACACACACACACACACACACACAGACAGAGAGAGAGAGAGAGAGCTAATAGTCCTGTGTGGCTTCACTGTGCCTCCAAGGCAACCAAGGACAACAGCCTCGTCCACTAGTATAGATCTTAGAAGTGTGTGTGTGTGTGTGTATGTGAAGGGAGGGAGGGTTGTTGCATCACATGATCCTGAATCCATCAGAACAGGCCGCCTGCAGAGATAAACACACACATACGTGCACTGATACACAACACAAACACTCAAAGGCTGCCTTTAAAATGTGACGTTATGAACACTGAAGACACAAACTCAGTGTCCGCACTGAAACAGGATCAACGTAGGAGGAGATACAGAACGGTTCCTGAATTAAGAACAGCTCTTGTGCAACACAATGGGATTTTTTGGGAAGGGTTAAATGTAACATTCATCAAAATTAGACTCCACAGATTTTGTCAGGTCAATCACGGTAGCATTAGCCCGTCACACCTCGTTCACACATATGGATTCAAAGGTAGAAAGGCTCCCTTGTGTCTAATGAGTTTATACTTGAGTCTTAAAACCATTGCCAATGATGTGCTTATGATTGATTCATAAACTGTACTGATTGTGAAAAAACCTTCTAGAAAGAGAGTTCGAAGTAGAGCCGCCGCTCCTTCACGTCGAAGAGGAGTCAGTCGAGGTGGTTCGGGCGTAATCCTTCGGAGGTTTTCCAGACACGGTTGGAGGCCTCGGGGGAAGACCCAGGACATGCTGGAGAGATTGTGTATCTCATCCAGCTTTGGGAATGTCTGAATAACCCCCAGGTTGTCTCCACCCAACACGTTCGTAGCCGCTGTAACAGTTTGGGTAATGTTAAGGGCACATTTCACCTGTTTCACCACCGCTACCTCGATGTGTATTGCTATGCCTGCTTTGTCCGTACAGTCCAAAGATAAGCTGTAACACCTGAACACTAGTGTATAACCCTCTGAAAGTCACTTTTAGGAGGTTATACGCTATGAATATTGCTGCCATTAGATCCTCCAAACTGATCTGCAACCTCTAAATCTACAACTACTCTTAAAACTTAACTTGTTTTACACAATGTACAGGAGTTAAAAATGGAAACGTTCTGGTCAAGAAGCCAGAACACCTTGTGGGGCAATGCTTCAGTTATTGGTACTGATCAATAATCGAGCCCCAGCACATACGGCATGTTGCTAAGAGATAGTTAAAAAATCTGACTTGCAAAATAACTTGGTACGGCTACTCATCACACACACACACACACACACACACACACAGATACAGTACATATATATGGCATCATTCAGGTTCCCCTCTCACCTTCTAAAGGGATTTTGAGCTTTAAAAATAAAAACCTGTCCTTGTTTTTCTTTGTTCTTTTTTTTGGATTTCCACATGGATGAATGTATGACTGTGTTATTTTTCTAGAAGCGGACGGCTAGCGCACGTTGTTGACTCTTTAATAAAGGCATCCTTAGAAAACTGGGTTGTTGTCGGACTGTTTATTTGACTTCCATCCTTTCTTGTCTCTGGTGTCAAATGTACATTTCCTTAATCATTGATTTCCATTGATTCTGCAGGTATTTGATTCTCGATCCTTAAAACTAGAGGACGGTAGCAACTGTGAACGACTGTCTCGTCTTCACACAAACATTAGAGAAATAACACTCTCCAAATAGGAACTCTAGTTATCTGGATTTGTGCCAAGTTCATAGATTATTATGATTTCTTACTAACACAATTTCCTTTCCCTGTCGTCTGGTAGAAGCTTCTCAGAGAAATGTGTTGCAGAGGTTTGTTAGTGCCTGTCTCATCCTAACTGAACTCCTACGACAGTTTTGATTATTAAACATTGATTCCTCATTAAATTGCTAAACATTTTCCTAGTTGACAAGTTGTCAAACGTTTATGATGCTAAACTGATTATTTAAATATATATATTTTATCAGCCGCCTGTTAAATGCGAATGGAAAAAGCGTCAAAATATAACATCACACGAGTCTCTTCCACCTACCAAAAACAAATATACTTTTCAACACAATTTAGGAAGGAACCATACAGGTGTCCCTCCCAGTACTGAGAAAGTACCCATCTGCCCCTGCCCCCCAATATACAGTGGAAAATATGTTAAATATGTCCTCTTTTGAGCGATGTCAATGGATTTATCTCTTATCGTTTCTGATTTATTTTCAATTTATTTCAATTTGTTAAAGCCATCTGCACACTTGGTTTCGCCCAATTCACCACATCCATTGTTGCCCAACATTTCAGATACTCTTAGTGACTTTATTTCTTAAAAGCCACCAGCAAAAAAACATTTAGCAACTTCTTCAAACTACCAGGGAAAAGACTAAAAAACATAAAATAAAATAATTTTAGTGATTAATGCTGCCCAGAGCGGTCCACGACTCCTGAAAATGTCAAAACAAAGGTCAGTGTAGTCATCAAAAATGTTCTAAATGTGCAAACGTTCATGAAGAATTGTGGGAAATGCAATAAAAACAGTTTTAGTGGAGGGTTTTCATTTGGACCCCCCGCAGTGTCTGTCTGTCTGTGCTCACTGGGAGGCCGCAGTCCGGTTACAGTCAGCTGATAGGACCGCTACAGCTAGTGGCAGCAGCTCGTACAGTTAGCATCTAGCAGCTATATATACTGTATGTGGTGAGCACACTCAGAAGTGCTGTGTTACAAGAGAAAAGGTCAGAAAAACAAAGAACGGCATCAAGACACAGCTCCTGTTTGATGCTGTTTTTGTTTCTATAAGGGGACAGCCCTAGTACAGGTATGAATGTCTCTCTTTACATCTCCAGCAGTTTTTATGTTTAAGTATACTGCTTAAAACAAAAAAACATGAACATTGTGACACGATGGGAAACTGATTTTGCAAAAGCACGAAGAGTTTGGTATGAAGTCATGGTGGTTAACTGTTACCCATTGCCCTCCATTGCTCCCATCACATCCTAGAATCCCTCCCACATGTTTAAGACCCAAACACTTGCTGCAAGTCTTTAGAGAGCAGCTTTAAATTTGAATTACCGTTGACAAAAGTCACTTCTAACAGCAACGCCGGCTTTGTCTGCTCC